AAAAGTCTTAAATTAAAAAATCGAAATTTATGGCTTTAAAAAGTCTTAAATTTGCTGTTCTAGGTCTTAAATATTTTTGCACAGGTCTTATTTTTGCGATGTCCATGTAACGCTACATCTAATGCTTATTTAAATTCTTTTTGTTGTTGTTGCTAGATTTTTGGGGTGTTGTAGTTCTATATTTCACAAGTCCAATTGTAATTTGCGGAATTACAACTACAAAAAAGTCAACTTGCAATAGCCAATCAGCTTTCTGTTATTAAACTCAGTGCGCGCGGCGAATGTGACGTCATCGCTGTGTTTGCGGAAGTTCGCTTTAAGTGTGAGCGACTTGATTTCAGCTGGCAGAGTATGCCGTTATTTCACTGACATGTAGCAAGCGCAGTTTTATAAGTCGGGAGCGTTGTAATGCGAAAGAGCGAAATTTAAATAACTTTATTTTACCCCTAATTTTGTGCTTTTACATTTTCTCTCGCATGTTTTTGATTTTGCGATATAGGTCTTAAATTTAATACTTAATGGTCTTAAAAAGGTCTTAAATTTGACATTATGATATCTGCAGAGACCCTGTTTGAGAGGAGCTTGTGATATGATTGATCGCAGCTGGTCCCTCATCTGTAATGGCCGAATTCGAAGAGTCTTCGAACCCGTGTGTAATTTCCTACTGTGAAATTACCACATTAAACGTGACGCGCTAACATGGATGCAGTTGACTAGAGTAAATCTGATTAATATTAGCTGCACAACTCACCATCAGGCACCTGTAGAGTTTGTGTTCTAGTAAAACATATACAGATAAAATGGAGCGGGTGCTTTTTAAAATGAATGGCGGTAAATGAAAGTCAAACCGGTAAGCGTGACAAAAAAAAAAGTGCCCTCTGAATCAAATCAGCAGGATGCCCTTCTGGATCTTTGACTTCGAACACTACTGACTACACTTACATGGACATCTGTAATCTAGTTATTTGCCTAAATAGACAATAATATAATTAAGGTGTTTACGTGAAGTGCTTTCATTTAAGAGTTTCCTGTCATTTTGGGTGACTTTAACTGCAGTTCGGCAGTTTCACATTCACTCATGAACATTTCATTCATGCCCCTGTGACAAACTGGGGTATTAGACGCAAATAAGGAGTAAGAACTGGTGAGACTGTTATGGTATTTAACGCACGCGGAATGAAAAGACAGAACTTCACATTTTGGACGTGTGTGTGTGTGTGTGTGTGTCTGCGCGGTCATTTGCTGACAGCCGTGTGTGTTTATCTTGTCGGAGAATATCAAGTGGTGCTCGCTGCAGAGCCATTTGGGCGAGCTGAGCTCCAGCGAGGGGGAGCTTGAGCTTGAGCTCCACCTTTTTTGCACTTCTTCTACGAGTGATGTCACTGGGGGTAGGGTTAGGGGTGGGGTTGGTGTACGCATTAAAACAGCTTTCAGGAGGCAGAACAAGAGCTCATGCTCCCCCTCGCTGGAGCTCAGCTCTGCTCAAATGGCTGTGCAGCGAGCACCCTCTCGAGAATATGGCCAAATCTCCTCCATGACAGTAATAGTTTGATTGCAGTGTTTATCTCAATAATGCCACTAATATCTGCATACTCCACATGTCTTAATTCCATTTCTGTTTAGTTCAGTTAGGACTTTAGCTGGCTTAAGGTAACCAAAAGTTAGAGATTAATTAGTTTTAAAAAAAAATTATCTATGCTATATAAATATATATATATACCTACCTGCATATAGACATGGTTAAAAAATTCTGATGTTCAAATCGAGCATCAGAACGGGGAAGAAGGGGGACTTAAGTGACTTTGAATGTGGCATAGTTGTTGGTGCCAGACAGGCTGGTCTGAGTATTTCAGAAACTGCTGATCTACTGGGATTTTCATGCACAACCATCTCTAGGGTTTACAGAGAGTAATCAGAAAAAGAGAAAATATTCAGCAAGCGGCAGTTTTGTTGGCGCAAATGTCTTTGAGGTCAGAGAAGAATGGCCAGACTGGTTCCAGCTGATAAAAATGTAACTGTAACTCAAACACCTGATACAATTGAGGAAGAGCACCTTTGAACACTTCCAACCTTGAGGCGGATGGGCTACAGCAGCAGAAGACCACACTGGGTGCCACTCCTGCCAGCTAAGAACAGGAAACTGAGACTACAATTCACACAGGCTCACCAAAATTGGACAATAGAAGATTGGAGAAACGTTGCCTGGTCTGATGAGTCTCCATTTCCGCTGAACAGTCGGATGGTCGGGTCAGAATTTGGAATCAACATTAAAACATGGAATCAATCATGCCTTGTATTAACGTTTCAGACTGCTGCTGGTGGTGTAATGGTGTGGGGGGTATTTTCTTGGCACACTTTGACACAATGCTTAATTGGTACAAATGGGTCCAAACACCACAGCCTACCTGAGTATTGTTGCTGACCATGTCCATCCCTTTATGACCACAGTGTACCCATCTTCTGATGCCTACTTCCAGCAGGAAGACGCACCAAGTCATAAAGCGTGAATCATCTCAGACTGGTTTCTCGAACATGACAATGAGCTCACTGTACTCAAACGGCCTCCACAGTCAGCAGAGCTCAATCCAATAGAGCACCTTTGGGATGTGCTGGAACGGGAGATTCACCTCATGGATGTGCAGCCGACAAATCTGCAGCAACTATTTGATGCCATCATGTCAATGAGGGCCAAAATCTCAGAGGAATATTTCCAGTACCTCGTTGAATCTATGCCACGAAGGATTAAGGCAGTTCTGAAGGCAAAAGCGGGTCCAACCCGGTACTAGTAAGGTGTACCTAATAAAGTGGCGGGTGAGTGTAGAACAGATGCTGTGACGGATGTAGTCCACCCTACTCTCACCTTCATATTGAATTAGTTTGGTTATATTTGTAGTAATGCACACCATCCTCAAAGCTGATTTGAAACAATAATGAAAAGCCACACGTAAATGAAATCAAGTTGAATTATGATGAAATGACAAGTTGCACTTTGTGATATCTTTGTTCAAAGTTTACCCACAATCAAACCTGTTTTAAAAAACCGGGGCGTTCACCGAACAGGAACGAACCTGCCCCAGGGTCAAACGCTTTTGCGGAAACATCATTTACCTTCATATGTTAAACGCAGAGCAGACTAAATTCCATTAAGCCAGAGTACAGGTGAAAACAGTGATTTGAGTTTAATGACTTTATAAACAATTATATAAAACAATTACTTTAAAAATCCATGCATTTTCAGTGTAAATTTGGATTTGAAATATAGAAGGAGATCTATGTACATCAGTATGTCCTGTAACAGCATTCTGACCCGCTCGGGCCAGTCAAGCAGAGAAACACTCGGGCTGCATAGAAAATAGTACATTATTGCCAACATTTATAGAAAACAAGAGGAAAGATTATCATGGAAATGTTCTAAAGGAGAGCTCATAAGTGCCTCTAGCTATGATCGACCCTTTCATGTCCTTTTTTATAATTACACGCGTTGAATTTTTTCCGACATGACGGCGTTATAAAGTGAGGCCGAGTCACTTACAGATAGTGATCAAACAAAAGAGGGGATCCAACCGACAAGACGTTCCCTACAGAATGAACACACATGGAATATTCACCCAAGTCTCATTACATTATTCAAAACTACTGAGATTTAGTCCCAAAAACAAAGGAAGGAAAAGAGAAAGTAGCCTGAGTTGATGGGGAAATAGTTAAAAAAATACCAGCCTGAGAAAAGCCCATTTGATTTACTTTATACAATAATTTACAGTAGTACAATGTGAAAAAGTGACACTATCTGATGCGCACTAAAAATAGTCCAGATTATTTTACAGCCGAGACAGATTTAAATAATTCAAGCATGGTGGAAAGAAAACAAAACTGAACAAAAATTACAGATAAAAATTGGCAAAAAATGGTCACAAAACACTGTAAACGAGGTACTTTGGAAGGTGAACCCCAGTCCTTCAGCACAGAAACCCTTTACGTCCACTAAAGACGAAACGCGAGTGAGTGAGTGAGTGTGTGTGTGTGTAGCGTCCTTTCACTCAACACATGTTAAATAAGCTGCGCCGCGTTTATTTACGGGAGTATGTCGGGATCCAGATTCGCACGGCAGAGCGAAACACGGACTCGTCTGTTTCAAAAGTAAAAAACCACAAACGAAAAGGAAAGTAGTCAATTTATAAAAATAATAATTAAAAAAAATTACTCTGCAGCACCTAGGAAAGAATGCCGCCGACTCTTAAATACAAAAATATGTGATCTGTGTTTTCCTCCCAGTGGTGCAGCGGCTGACAGTCCCCTAAGGCATTCCTGTGTGATGTGTGTCTATGGCTAATCGGAGGAGAAGCGTTATGTCTTGCGGCCGCTCCAGACCTGTTCCGGTGTGCTTTTGTGGTCGGACGAGTACTCGAAGGGCGAGCGGTGTCCGATAGGCGAGCGCTGGTCCCGGGGCGAGCGGTGCTCCATCTGCCAGTCTGAATGGTAGCGATAGTCCCGGGAGGATTTGTGGTGCGAGTAGTCGGAGCTGCCGGAGCGGTGCTCAGAGTGGAAGCGGTGCTCCGAGTGAGTCCTGTCCTTGGAGTTGCTTTCTGATCGGTGCTCCCTGCTGGAGCGGTGCTCGTCCAGCTTCCTGTGCTTGCTCTCACTGTAGTATCTGAAAAGAGCAAATCAGGACGATTATGATGCATCCAAGTTTGGCTGAAGTTACCCTGACATTCTAACTATTTAAAGGGATAGTTCACCAAAAATGAACATTT